CGACGGATTGGAGTCAGGTGCACCTTAGTCCTCAAACTGATATCTTTGCTCATTAATACTTTAAAGTGTCCCCTTAGGAGCCAGTTTGACTCCCTGTCTTGAAAGCAAAGAGAAAAAACATTCAGACTAATTTATGTTAAAGGAGATTTATTGTAAGAACCTGGCACTCAATCTTAGACATTCAGGGGTGGGAAACCAAGTAGTAGGCCAAGGGAGACTTGAAGTTGAAAGAGAAGAATCTGGCATGTGGACCTGGTTTAGCAGAGCATTGTTTCAAATCCCAACTCCACATGACCTTGCCACCTCCAGTCCCCACATCTCCCTGGCCCAGTATTCCAGCTATAGTTCATGGACAAGAGGACATGACTGACTTACAAGGCCTTCCAGCCTGTGCACTACCTACCGCTCTCCTCTGACCTCATTTTACCACTATTTGAAACCTACACTACAGCTTGAACTTTCGCTCTTTCTAACTGCTGGTATTTTGTTTCCAGACCTTCACACATTTCTTCTGCCTCAAATATTCTTATCTTGTCAGACTCCTGGCCAATGTCTACTCACCCTGCAGTTTCTCAGCTCAGATGTCACTCCCTCGAGAATGCTGTTAACATCCCAGCCTTACCTCCAGGAAAACTCCAGGTGGAGTTCCTGCTCTGTGTGCCCGTGCACCCTAGGCTTGCCCAGATCAAAGCATATACTACATTATGTTGCAAGTGTCTATCTTCCTGACTAGACGGTAAATAGGGACATTATTCACCAATTTCCAGGTCTAATCACAATGCCCAGCTCATAGCAGGCACCGAATTAATAATTACCTGGTTGGGGGCGGGGGAAATGAACTGGCTCACATGCCAGTTAGTTGTCTATCCTTGGCAATATGTGACTAAAAGGTGAGGGGGCTGTTGGCATCAATGGCTGCATGGATACAACCCCTCTTTAGCTGAAACCCAGGGCAGGTTCCTTTAGAAGGAGCTATGGGTAAATATGGGAGCAAGATGAGGTTTTCTGCTCCTGGAAAGATTTTAAAGTTTTGGAAACCCTACACAGAGTTGCTATGAGTAAGAACTGATTTAACAACAATATGGGCACTTTTAATTGCCTCATATGCATGTCAGCATTTGTAACTTACCAACCTCTTCCTCAGAAACCCTATACAGCAGGGGTGGGGAGCCTTTTTTTCTACCAAAAATTATAACATCATTTGTGGGTTATACAAAATTAACAACAAAAATTAGCCAGCTATATTTGATCAAAAGGAGCTCTGGCAGCGTAGTGGTTATGAATCAGGCTACGAACCTCAAGGTCAGCAGTTCGAAACTACCAGCTGTTCTGTGGGAGAAAGATGAGGCTTTCTGTTTCTGTAAAGATTTATAGCCTCAGAAACCCTGTACAGGGTCACTATGAGTCGGAACCGACTCCATGGCACATAACCACCAACCACCACCATATTTGTTCAAACATTTAACTCACCCCTAATGTGATGGCTGGAACTGAGGTTATCTAGGTAGGGCCAGGCCAAATGATTTCACAGGCCAATGGTTCACCACCCCTGATCTACAGGGTTGTTATGAGTTGGAGCCAACTCGATGGCACTTAACAACATGCAGGTGGAAACTGGACAATGAGTAAGGAAGATCAAAGAAGAATTACTGCTTTTGAATTGTGTTATTGAAGACATATTAAATATACCATGGACTGCTAGAAGAATGAACAAATCTGTGCTGGAAGAAGTACAGCCAGAATGGTACTTAGTGAAGATTGTGGGAGTTGGTCTCAGCAACAATGGGCTGCAACAAAGGAACAATTGTGAAGCTGGTGCAGGACCAGGCACTGTCCCCTTGTGTCATACATTGGGTCTTTATGGTTGGAATTGACTCAACAGCCCCTAACAACATCATGGGTAGAAAGAGCCTGAGTGGTACAGTGGATTAGGTAAGAATTTGACTGCTAACTGAAAAGGTGGTTTGAACCTACCAGCCACTCTGTGGGAGAAAGGTAGAAAATTCATCCTATGTTTGAGGTCAACTGGGATGAGCTTTTGAATCCTTTGAAACCATCAGTTTTCCCATATTACATTTGAATATGGAAACCTCACTTTGCATGCCTGTAAATAATGGTAATAAGAACCACTCACTGTATGTACCATTCTGTGGTTCAAGTTCTACCCAGCTAGGAAGATGAAAGAGCAGACTAAGGGACTATGACCTTGCCTCCCTTAGGAGACTGGCAGAGTTCTGCTTTATGTGACTGCTAAACAGACGAAGGGGGTCTAGAATAGTTTAGCGCTCATGAAAATGTCCCAGTTCTTTCATGATACCAGACAAAATGCTGGATGCTATACACCAGCTCATCGCCAGCAAGAATTGCTCTGCTGATTATACATCCCCAGTGCCTGTAGTTTGTTTTAAGCAAGATCCCTGTAAGACATGCTTTTAGTCATCTCATGCTTGACTTTCCAGTGAATGCCAGTAGCAAGCCCCACTCCCCATTGACAGAGATGACACCAGTGTGAGCAGGGAAATCCAAGGCGGAGAGAGGGCCTAGGGGTTTCATACAAACAGCCAGAGGTTCTCAGGTTTCCGGGGATCCTAGGCATATAGAAAGAGAAGATGTCTCCTCTTCAGTGGTTCCCCAACTGGCTGTTTATCGGAGTTGTTTAGGGAGCTTTTAAAAAAATACAAGCTCACAGGCCACATGCGGAAGGTAGTACATCAGTAATTTATTGAGTATACATTTACTGAACAATTACATTCTTTATAAAATTATTGATTCTGCTACTATTATAAGGTTCTCTTCACAGCAACCCTAGGTGGTGGTTGTTTTTGTTAAGTACCATGGAGTCGGTTCTGACTCATAGTGACCCTACAAAGGGTTTCCAAGGCTGTAAATCTTTATGGGAACAGACCACCTCATCTTTCTCCTGTGGAACCGCTGGTAGTTTCAAACTGCCGACCTTGAGGTTAGCAGCCTGATTCATAACCACTACGCTACCAGAGCTCCTGAACCCTAGGTGGTAGGTCCCCTTCTAGGAAATGGCAAAGCCAGGATTTGAACCCAGGCAGAGGGAGGATTTTGTGGTGCTAGAATGGTTGTGTCTATCAATTGTGAGGTTGCATGAATCTACTCATAAAAAAATGGCATTATATACACACTGGTTTTACTATTGTAGCAGGAGAATGGAGTGGCTCTGGATGATAAGCACTGGAAATGTGAACCACAAGGTCAGTAGTAGAAGTCCACCAGCCACTCCATGGGTAAAGATGAGGCTTTGTGCTCCCACAAAGATGTACAACCTCGGAAACCCTATACCAGCTTATTGGGAGTAGGAACCAACGCAACGGCACTTAACAACAATATTGTACTATGGTTGTGTAAGCTGTAACCACAGGGAGAAACTGGGTGAAGGCTACACAAGAGCTCTCTACTATTTTTGCAACTATAATTCTGGGAGTAATAGTAATAATAATAAAGATACGTATATATATGCCTTACCTTTGGCAAGCCCTCAAATCATTTAGAAGCCAGTCCCCTTAAGGTGGCTAAAAGATCATCCTTGGAAGACAAACCTCCTTCCACTTCCAGCAAGAATAATACAATGGCTCTGGGCAGAGCAGGGCGAGGCTACCTCTGGCTGGCTGCACCAGTAACAGAGTCAAGCACACTTTGCAACTACGGAAAGAGGTTAAAACCAGTTACTAATGCCTTGCAGTGATTCTCCAAGAACCAGAACCCAGTCAGCTACATAAGAACTACTGGGCGAGCCCTAAATGAGGCACAAACTCTCCCATACCTAGAGACTGGCTCAGTAGGTGGAGGACAGTGTCTAAAAACCACTCCACAAAATATGAGTTTGGGAACCTGAGATTAAATGGAGCAGCTGATAGAACTGGATCTCCAGTGATGTCACAGGAATCCACCACCATGGGAACTGTAACCAAAGCTCTCAGGTTTCTGGTGGTGGTTATGTTTAGAAAGATAAGAATTATATCATGTCATATGGACCTCTGGTAGCGTAGTGGTTACGAATCGGGCTGCAAACCACAAGGACAGCAATTTGAAACTACCAGCGGTTCCGCGGGAGAAAGATGAGGCGTTCTGCTCCTGTAAAGATTTACAGCCTCGGAAACCCTGTACAGGGGCGCTATGAGTCGGAACCGACTCCACAGCATATAACAACAACAACTTTTTTTTTAATGTCCTGTATTAATGCAATATAAAAATGAAGTAATTTCTATTGCATTTCTCCTCTTTGATAATTTACCAAGTTTCTCATGGCAGCAATGTAGTTAGAAACAAGGTAATTCTCTAAAATTGAATGTTTTATGATTCAAAGACCATTACACACTCTGCTAAGTTAAAAACGTTTTGTGCCACAAGTAATGAAACACTGAACCAAAAGCAACAGAAAACAAACAGGCACCTATTTGCCTCACAAAGTAAGAAGCCCAGAAGTAATTGGCCACTGGTGTTGGTTCTGCAGCTCCAGATTTTGGGGGTTGTGGGGCGAACCACTTGTGACAATTTGACAATTGTGCAGCTCCTAGAGTGGCACTGTGAGTTAATGCACCAGACTGCAAAGCCTTTTGAACTACAAGCTCGGTGGTTCTAGCTCACCTCACTCCTTGGAAACCCTATGCACAGTCACTATGGGTTGGAACCCACTCAATAGCACTTAACAACAACAACAAAGCCCCTCTGCACTGAAGGGTCAGATCAGATGAAGGAGAAAGGGGCAGGGCTACTGAAGTGCTACTCCTTTTCACTGGCCAGAACACTAGCCCATGGTCATTCCGGTTTGTAAAGGAGGCTAGAAATGGAATTCTGTTGCTTTTACTGTTTCTATGGGAGAGGCAAGAAATGCAAATGGGAGGGGCTGGGTGATGAGTGAGCCAACCTATAGTGTTTGATACAGCTTTCAAATTAAAATGTTATCCAGCACTGTTTAATTGCTGATACTTAGTAATAAATTATCATTGCCTATGGCTATGACAATCAGTCACAAAGATGTCCACTATCAGTAATTACGCAGGTAGGTATTGGTCTTTCATTCTCTGTTGGAACTAATTCCAGTTGTTTAAGGACATCTGTTCCTTCAATCAGTTGACTACATGAAAGAAAAAAAAAAGCAATATTTGATAAGTAAAAGTTTTTCACATTTAATTTATATTCTTAATTTAGATCCCCCCTCCTCATCTGGTGTGAGGAGACCTGGTGTGGCGCTGTGAGATAATGCACAGGGACTACAAGGTGGCTTTGAACCGCAAGGCAAGGTGGGTGGTTCAGATCCATCAGCTGCTCCTTGGAAACCCCATACTGGGTCACTATGCGTCGGAACCAACTCTATAGCACTTAACAATCTTTACAGAAGCAGATTGCTATATCCTTCTCTCTCTCTCAGCGGCAGGTAGGTTCAAACTACGACTCTGTAGGGTCTCCCAAGATGTGTGCTAATGGGCTTGAACCACCAACCTTGTGCTTAGCAGCCCAGTGCTTATCCTACAGCTCCACACTAGCTAAGGTTATTTCCTACAACTTCACGTCAGTCATAAATACCTCTAGATATGTCCAATTTGCAATGATAATCTATAATGTTGACCCTAATCCAGGCTGCTGGCCTCTCCTGCCCGGCCTACTGCAGTAGCCTCCTAGCTGGGTTGCTCCTCATCTGCTCTGGCAATGTAGTTATTCTTACTACAGTCACTATTGTTGTTACATGCCGTCAAGGCAGTTCCAACCCACAGCAATGTTGTATAGGGTTTTCAAGGAGCAGCTGGTGAGCATGATCCGACCTTCAAGCTCTGGGCGAGGTCGTACTCTGAGTTGGCATAGTCTCTCCTGAAGGACAGGCAGGTTCTTGTATCAGAAACTAGAACTTGGAATGAAGGCCTATCTCAAATAGGAGAGGAAACTTTTGTTTCTCTCTGGGCCTTCCCAACCAGTATGGGTTTCCAGAAACTCAAATATACCTGGGGGTCCTCAAAAACTATCTACCACCAGAGGAGCCCTACAATTGAGAAGGCAGACATTCCTGGTATCCTGCCAGATTCTCTATCTACATTCTACCTTTTTGCTTCTCCCTTTGTATTCTGTGAGCTCTTGTTCAAATATTCCTGCCTAACCTTCTCTGTGCTTTGGAGATTCATGGGCTAAACCGAGATCACGTTTGGGCCAGAACAATAAAAGAGGCACAGTGCCCCCATGCGGCCAGTGTAATGTCAACACAAACTTGTGGGAGATTCCTCTAAAGGTGAGCCCGCGGATTAGCAGGTTCTCTACCCCACAGTCATCCTGTGAGGATCTGTGCTCACTTATCCTAAAGTAGCCGGAGGGTGTTTCCTTATACCTCTTCCCTAGACCCCCAATGCACCCTTTACAGACTTGCATAGCCTAGGTCCCATGGTCTTATAGTTTCTGGTTTCCTGTTCTCTTTCCTAATAGACTACAAACTCACAGAAAGGCAAGAATTGTGCCTTATCCCTTTCTCCAGCATGGAGCCTGAGGACTGACATGTTGATATTAACCCACAGCAAACCCTATGACAGAACACAAGTGCATCATGGGGTTTTCTTGGCTGTCATCTTTACAGAACAGATCACCAGGTCTTTCTCCTGTGGGCATGAACCAATGACTTAGATTAACTGCTGCCTGCTCAACTATTGCACCACCATGGTGCATAACCAACAAGGTAAACCCAACCCACTCCTGCTGAGTAAATGTTGACTCCTAACAACCCTACAGGACAGAGGGTTTCCCAGACTATAAGTCTTACGGGAACAGCTGTGCCTTTTTCCCATGGAGCAGGTGGTGGGTTTGAACTAATGACCTTGCAATGAGTGGCCCAATGCTTAACCCACTATGCCACCAGGGCTCCTTATAGTACATGCCTAATAAAATGTTGCTTGAATGAAAGATTCAAGAGAAGGAGAAGCGAAGGCTGAAAACTGAGGGAGCAGACAGTGAGCTTTAGACTTGAGGCTCTGTGCCTCTGGGGGAAAGGAGAGGGTTGTGATGGAGGCTTTAAAAAATCTTATGTAGTCATGTTTGAGTTTGAGAAGGATATCTTTAGCAGGTGGGCATACTGTCAGCATTCAAAATTAATAATATCCTTGCAGCTGAAGATGGATGGATAGATGAATAGATATAACATTATAATGTTATTATAATGTTTGTGATTAAATGGTATTTGTATTCTTTGTAAATACCAAAGAACAGCTTAATGGCACCTAACAACAACACAGACAGCAAGCTTCCTATGAAATATTCATTTCTAAATATGATTTTTATCTATACTTATATTAGTTTTACACTTTAATTTTAATTTTTTCTGTAGCTATCCATAGACTATGTCCAATACTTATCCACATATTTTTGAACCACATTTTTACATGTATGATTATAGACAGACATACAATGTACATACCCAAAAGCCACATACTTCCTGTCTAGATAGGGAGCCGATTGTAGTGTAATATAGAACTGTGACCCATTGCTGTGAGGGCCTTTGTTGACCATTCCTAGAACTCCTTTTTTATTATGAGGAATGGAAAAGTTCTCATCTAGAAAAGATAATAATCAGTAGGTCATTAAAATATTTTTTTATCTCGATTTGCTACAAGATTGATAATAGCCTGTAAGTTACAAACAGAGCCCTTTTTCTTAAAAAAAATTTTACATTTATCATAAGTTTACATTTACCCTTGGTAACAATCTCAATCATACCTATTGATACATTCCAAATGGCAAATATACTATTTGTTTCATACTACTTTCACAATATAAAATAACAAGAAAAAAAGCAAAGCAAATGTAAAGGAGTAAACTGTAAAATCTTAAAGACCTCAACATTTTGCTCTAGTTTATTGCTGTTGTTGAAAGTTCCATCAGGTCGGTTACAACTCATTGCAACCCTGTATAGGGTTTCCAAGAAGTAGCTGGTAGGCTTGAATTCCAGACATTGAGGTTCACAGTCGGATGCTTATCCTACAGTGTCACACTGTAGGATAAGTTAAAAAAAAAAAAAAGTGTGCTAAGAAAATTGTTATATTTTTATGGTAAATGTAAATCTATCATATTTAAGAAAAGTAATTCTCTAAAAGAAAAAATATGTCATTGAAAACAAATTCCGTTTTCAGTAGCCATTGTATATCATACCCTAGGTAAATTGAGGGGAAATGTCAGTTCTTAAAGAAGAGGATATATTTCAAAGACTTACTTTCCTATTTATACACAAGTTTGCTTTCTGAAACCTTACCATGAGTAGGTAGCTCATACCAAAATTCAAAAGTATTCCTTATGAACTCAACCATCTTACTTTTGTTAGGTAATAAAGCCATAAACTAATAGAATTGTGATCTGAAATATTTGAAAAGCATCTTGTCTAGTTTTATATGTAAGATGATTAAGGTCCAAAGAGTCTTAGTATTGTCTCAGAAAACCAAGGTTTCCAAAAATTAGTGAGAGGACTCAGACCACAACCAGGAGTCCCTTGCTCTTTCTCAGTCTGCAGCTTCTCCACAGCTCCACAAGGAGTTCAGGAAGTTGGTGAGTAAACTCATAGTGCAACAAAAACTTCAAACATGAAAAATTGGACACTTAAAATCATACACTTTAGCATATAATCCATTAGCCCAAGAGCCAACATGTTTTCGTGTTCTAAAGCAATAATTTGATTGTGTTTCTAAAGTAACAGGACAAGCAGCCGCCAAAGCTTAGAGTTTGCTGTTGTTTTTACATGCTTTTACATTGAGTAGGTTCCAAATCATAATGGCCCTATGGAACAATGAAATAAAACATGGCTCAGACCTGCAGCATTTTCACAATCCTTGCTAAATTTGAACTCACTATTGCAGCCCCTGTAAAAATCCATTTTGTTGGGGGTTTTCCTCTTTTTCACTAACCCTCTTTTTCACCAAGTATGATATCCTTCTCCAGTGACTGGTTTCCTGACAACATGATCAAAGAACATGAGACAAAGTCTCACCATCCTCTCTTATAAAGAACATTCTGGCTATACTTATTCCAAGACAGATATGTTAATTCTTCTAGCTGTCCATTGTTGATAAAGTACCCTTGAGTTGGTTCCAATCCATAGCCACCCTGTATAGGGTTTCCTAGGAGAAGCTGGTGGGTTTGAACCACCAACCTTGTGGTTAGCAACTAGTGCTTATCCTACTGTACCACCCCAGGACTCCAATTCATACTACATTCAATATTCTATGACAACACTTTAATTCAAAGGCATCGACTCTTTGGTCTTCCTTATTCACTGTCCATGGATATGAGGCAATTGAAAATAACGTATTTCGGTCAGGCGCACCTTAGTCCTCAAGGTGACATTTTTGCTTTTTAACACTTTCAGGAAGTCTAATGTCTTGTTTGATTTCTTGACAACTGCTTTCATGGGTGTTGATTGTGGATCCAAGTAAAATGAAATCCTTGACAACTTCAGTATTGTCTCCATTTATCATGATGCAGTTGATTGGTCCAGATGTAAGGATGTCTTGGTTGTTGTTGTTTATATTGAAGTGTAATCCATACTGAAGGCTCTAGTCTTCGATCTTCAACAATAAGTGCTCTAAGTCCTCTTTGACATTAAGCAAGCAAGGTTGTGTCATTTATATATTTCAGGTTGTTAGTCTTCTTCCAATTCTGATGCCATGTTCTTCTTCATATAATCCAGCACTTGGATTATTTGCTCAGCATACAGAGTGAATAAGTATGGTAAAAGAATATAACCCTGGCACACACCTTTCCTAATTTTAAACCATTCAATGTTTCCTTTTCTATTCAATCGACTACTTCTTGGTCTATGTACCAGTTCTGCATAAGCACAATTAAGTATTCTGGAATTCCCATTCTTTACAACATTATCCATGGTTTGTTATGATCCAAAGACAAATGTCTTTACATAGTCAATAAAACGTAAGTAAGCATCTTTCTGGTATTCTCTGCTTTCAGCCAAGATCTGGTTCAGCACTGGTCTCTCTCTATTCTACTTTCTCTTCTGAATCTGACTTGAGTTTCTGGTTCTCTCTTGATGTACTGCTACCAACTGTTTTTGAATTATATTGTTTGATAACTTCTACATTCTGTTGGATCACCTTTCCTTGGAATGGGCACAAATATGAATCTCTTTTAGTCAGTTGGCTAGGAAGTTTTCTTCCAAATTTCTTGCTATAATTAGGCAGAACCCTCAGTGGAATCCATTCCATTCTTGCTCCGGGGAAGCAGTCAGACATTCCAGATTAGCCAATCTTCTCCTCCCTGTTCCCTCCTGAGTAACAAAGTCGTGGTGACCCTTCCTGTATAAATGATATGAGCTAAATGATCTTTAGGCCCAGGCTCGACAGGGCCTGCCTTGCCAGCCCCAGGAGAGTCAGTCAGGAGATATTCCACCTAAAGATGAGAGTCAATTGCATACTGGAGTTTAGAAAGAAAAGTTTACTTTACAGAAGCTTTACTTAAAAAAACAAAAACAAAAAAGCCATTCTAATAGCATATTTACATTAATAGAGAAAAATTTTCCAGCAAGTAATATTAAAATGGAGAATGAAAATCCATACATATAATTCAATACTGCGTTCCAGGTGCTGTTCTCAGTACCTGGCTTAACACTTTTGAGCTTTATAAAAAAATCTTGTCTGTTCACATCATACTCGTTTTGAGGACAAGTGGGAAAGAAAACAACTGACCTTGAAATCAACAACCATTTTCCCCATTAAGTCTGAGAGGGATAATAATTAACTATTGTAGATTATTTTATCAGCAGTTCTGAATTGAAAGGAATATTTTAAACAATCTACAAAAACATGTTTCAAGGTAGGAGGAAAAAACTTTTTTTGATTGCTGGAAAAAAACTAGAGAAACTTAAAATTTGAATGCTAGCTAAATCAGCATAATTAATAATAATTTTATCTTTAGTTCACAGAAACTTAAGGGAATTTTAAAAGCTTTAAAACCCTCTCATTGCATTGTCAGTGAGTCATGATACCCTGCCTGCCTCTGCAACTTACAATATGATATGCGGCAGTGGTGGTGGTGGCTGTGTGCCATGGAGCCAATTCTGACTCATAGCGACCCTGTACAGGGTTTCCCAAGGCTGTAAAATCTTTACGGGAGCAGAAAGCCTCTTTCTTCCTTGGAACAGCTCGTAGTTTCGAACTGCTGACCTTGAGGTTAGCAGCCCAATTCGTAACCACTACACTATTGCTAAAACTGTTATGGCTAAACCTGACATCATTTCCAACATATATAGCATTGTCCTCATCATTGTTAAGTGCCATGGAGTAGTTACTACTCATAGTGACCCTGTATAGGGTTTCTGGGCCTTTTAAATCTTTTGCAGAAGCAGAAAGTCTCATCTTTCTCCCATGGAGTGGCTGGTGGGCTTGGACCACCCACCTTGAGGTTCACAGTCCAATACTTAATCTGTGGAGCCACAGCGCTCCCATACAATATTTTTGTTGTTGTTAAGTGCTGTCAAGTCGGTTTGGACACATAGCAACCCTATATTGGGTTTCCAAGGAGTGGCTGGAGAGCTTGAATCACTGACGTTGCAGTTCTAACTGACTTTGCAGTCCAACACATTAACCCACAGCATCACACCAGGGCTCATAACAATTGGGTAAATAGATTTTAAGTGCTGAAGCTATCAGTGAATTGGGAGGGTAGCTAATACTAAGAAACTGGTCTACTTAGCTTTAAAAGGACAATAAAATATTAAATACATATCTTAATGGCCACTGAACACATAAGAGAAGCTCATCACCATTATCCATTGGAGATGCAAATCAAAACCACAGAATTAAAAGAAAACAGAAAACAGCAAATGTTGGTGAGGATGTAGGGAAATTGGAACCTTTACCCATTGCAAAATGGAACAGTCACTAAGGAAAAACTAAAACTAGAACTGCCATATGGCCCAGCAATTCCATTCCTAGATATATACACAAAGACTTGAAAGCACAGACTCAGATATTTATACACCATTGTCCAAGGCAGCACTATTCATAATAGTCAAAAGATGGAAGCAACTTAACTGCCCATCAATGAATGAATGGACAAAATGTGATACATACATGCAACAGCATATGAGGGCGTTCAGAAAGTTCATGGGAAAATGGAATTAAAAGATAATGGCATTTTCACTACGAACTTTTGGAAGCCCCCTAAACCGACTCCACAGCACATAACAACAACAACAACAATGATACTTAGCCAGTAAGAGAAATGAAGTATTGATACATGCTACAATATGGATGGAACTTGAACTCATGCTGAGTGAAGTAAGTCAATCACAAAAGGACAGATATTATATGACTTCATTTGTGTAAACAGACAAGAACACTTGGATCATGGTTTCATGGGACATCTCTCTTAATTGGCCTAATAATGTGCTCAGTGCTTCTATTTTGCCTCTTAGTTCATTGTGTAGTGCCTGGGCTCTTAAAAGCTTTCAAGCTGTCATCTAAGGTATAATTGGTCTCTATTCGTGATTGTTGTTGTTGTTAAGTGCCATCGAGTCAGTTCCTACCCACTGCGACCCTGAATAGGGTTT